GTTGTGTAACATGTCGGCAGCCTGCTCTAGTGCTAGGATCTCTACTGTGTTGTGTAACATGTCGGCAGGCCTGCTCTAGTGCTAGGATCTCTACTGTGCCTTTGTGTAACATGTCGGCAGCCTGCTCTAGTGCTAGGATCTCTACTGTGTTGTGTAACATGTCGGCAGCCTGCTCTAGTGCTAGGATCTCTACTGTGTTGTTGTAACATGTCAGCAGCCTGCTCTAGTGCTAGGATCTCTACTGTGTTGTGTAACATGTCGGCAGCCTGCTATAGTGCTAGGATCTCTACTGTGTTGTGTAACATGTCGGCAGCCTGCTCTAGTGCTAGGATCTCTACTGTGTTGTGTAACATGTCGGCAGCCTGCTCTAGTGCTAGGATCCTGTAACTGTCGGCAGCCTGCTATAGTGCTAGGATCTCTACTGTGTTGTGTAACATGTCAGCAGCCTGCTCCAGTGCTAGGATCTCTACTGTGTTGTGTAACATGTCGGCAGCCTGCTCTGTGTTGTGTAGTGCTAGGATCTCTACTGTGTTGTGTAACATGTCGGCAGCCTGCTCCAGTGCTAGGATCTCTACTGTGTTGTGTAACATGTCAGCAGCCTGCTCCAGTGCTAGGATCTCTGCTGTGTTGTGTAACATGTCGGCAGCTGCTCTAGTGCTAGGATCTCTACTGTGTTGTGTAACATGTCAGCAGCCTGCTAGTGTTAGGATCTCTACTGTGTTGTGTAACATGTCAGCAGCCTGCTATAGTGCTAGGATCTCTACTGTGTTGTGTAACATGTCAGCAGCCTGCTCTAGTGCTAGGATCTCTGCTGTGTTGTGTAACATGTCAGCAGCCTGCTCCAGTGCTAGGATCTCTGCTGTGTTGTGTAACATGTCGGCAGCCTGCTATAGTGCTAGGATCTCTCTACATGTCGGCAGCCTGCTATAAGTGCTAGGATCTCTACTGTGTTGTGTAACATGTCAGCGGCTGCTCCAGGCTAGGATCTCTGCTGTGTTGTGTAACATGTCGGCAGCCTGCTCTAGTGCTCTGCTGTGTTGTGTAACATGTCAGCGGCCTGCTCTCAGTGCTAGGATCTCTACTGTGTTGTGTAACATGTCGGCAGCCTGCTGTAGTGCTAGGATCTCTACATGTGATCTCTGCTGTGTTGTGTAACATGTGCGGCGGCCTGCTCTAGTGCTAGGATCTCTACTGTGTTGTGTAACATGTCGGCAGCCTGCTCTAGTGCTAGGATCTCTACTGTGTTGTGTAACATGTCGGCAGCCTGCTCTAGTGCTAGGATCTCTACTGTGTTGTGTAACATGTCAGCAGCCTGCTCTAGTGCTAGGATCTCTGCTGTGTTGTGTAACATGTCGGCAGCCTGCTCTAGTGCTAGGATCTCTGCTGTGTTGTGTAACATGTCGGCAGCCTGCTCTAGTGCTAGGATCTCTACTGTGTTGTGTAACATGTCAGCAGCCTGCTCTAGTGCTAGGATCTCTACTGTGTTGTGTAACATGTCGGCGGCCTGCTCTAGTGCTAGGATCTCTACTGTGTTGTGTAACATGTCGGCAGCCTGCTCCAGTGCTAGGATCTCTGCTGTGTTGTGTAACATGTCGGCAGCCTGCTCCAGTGCTAGGATCTCTGCTGTGTTGTGTAACATGTCGGCAGCCTGCTCCAGTGCTAGGATCTCTGCTGTGTTGTGTAACATGTCGGCAGCCTGCTATAGTGCTAGGATCTCTACTGTGTTGTGTAACATGTCGGCAGCCTGCTATAGTGCTAGGATCTCTACTGTGTTGTGTAACATGTCGGCAGCCTGCTCCAGTGCTAGGATCTCTGCTGTGTTGTGTAACATGTCGGCGGCCTGCTATAGTGCTAGGATCTCTGCTGTGTTGTGTAACATGTCGGCAGCCTGCTCTAGTGCTAGGATCTCTGCTGTGTTGTGTAACATGTCGGCAGCCTGCTCCAGTGCTAGGATCTCTGCTGTGTTGTGTAACATGTCGGCGGCCTGCTATAGTGCTAGGATCTCTGCTGTGTTGTGTAACATGTCAGCAGCCTGCTCTAGTGCTAGGATCTCTACTGTGTTGTGTAACATGTCGGCAGCCTGCTCCAGTGCTAGGATCTCTGCTGTGTTGTGTAACATGTCGGCGGCCTGCTATAGTGCTAGGATCTCTGCTGTGTTGTGTAACATGTCAGCAGCCTGCTCTAGTGCTAGGATCTCTGCTGTGTTGTGTAACATGTCAGCAGCCTTCTCCAGTGTTAGGATCTCTGCTGTGTTGTGTAACATGTCAGCAGCCTGCTCTAGTGCTAGGATCTCTGCTGTGTTGTGTAACATGTCAGCAGCCTGCTCCAGTGTTAAGATCTCTGCTGTGTTGTGTAACATGTCGGCGGCCTGCTCTAGTGCTAGGATCTCTGCTGTGTTGTGTAACATGTCGGCGGCCTGCTCTAGTGCTAGGATCTCTGCTGTGTTGTGTAACATGTCGGCGGCCTGCTCTAGTGCTAGGATCTCTGCTGTGTTGTGTAACATGTCGGCGGCCTGCTCCAGTGTTAGGATCTCTGCTGTGTTGTGTAACATGTCGGCGGCCTGCTATAGTGCTAGGATCTCTGCTGTGTTGTGTAACATGTCGGCAGCCTGCTCTAGTGCTAGGATCTCTACTGTGTTGTGTAACATGTCAGCAGCCTGCTCCAGTGTTAGGATCTCTGCTGTGTTGTGTAACATGTCGGCGGCCTGCTCCAGTGTTAGGATCTCTGCTGTGTTGTGTAACATGTCAGCAGCCTGCTCCAGTGCTAGAATCTCTACTGTGTTGTGTAACATGTCGGCAGCCTGCTCTAGTGCTAGGATCTCTACTGTGTTGTGTAACATGTCAGCAGCCTGCTCCAGTGCTAGGATCTCTACTGTGTTGTGTAACATGTCGGCAGCCTGCTCTAGTGCTAGGATCTCTACTGTGTTGTGTAACATGTCGGCAGCCTGCTCTAGTGCTAGGATCTCTACTGTGTTGTGTAACATGTCGGCAGCCTGCTCTAGTGCTAGGATCTCTGCTGTGTTGTGTAACATGTCGGCGGCCTTCTATAGTGCTAGGATCTCTACTGTGTTGTGTAACATGTCGGCAGCCTGCTATAGTGCTAGGATCTCTGCTGTGTTGTGTAACATGTCGGCAGCCTGCTCCAGTGCTAGGATCTCTGCTGTGTTGTGTAACATGTCAGCAGCCTGCTCTAGTGCTAGGATCTCTACTGTGTTGTGTAACATGTCGGCAGCCTGCTCTAGTGCTAGGATCTCTACTGTGTTGTGTAACATGTCAGCAGCCTGCTCCAGTGCTAGGATCTCTACTGTGTTGTGTAACATGTCGGCAGCCTGCTCTAGTGCTAGGATCTCTACTGTGTTGTGTAACATGTCAGCAGCCTGCTCCAATGTTAGGATCTCTACTGTGTTGTGTAACATGTCAGCAGCCTGCTATAGTGCTAGGATCTCTACTGTGTTGTGTAACATGTCGGCGGCCTGCTCCAGTGCTAGGATCTCTGCTGTGTTGTGTAACATGTCAGCAGCCTGCTCTAGTGCTAGGATCTCTACTGTGTTGTGTAACATGTCGGCAGCCTGCTCTAGTGCTAGGATCTCTACTGTGTTGTGTAACATGTCAGCAGCCTGCTCCAGTGCTAGGATCTCTACTGTGTTGTGTAACATGTCGGCAGCCTGCTCTAGTGCTAGGATCTCTACTGTGTTGTGTAACATGTCAGCAGCCTGCTCCAATGTTAGGATCTCTACTGTGTTGTGTAACATGTCAGCAGCCTGCTATAGTGCTAGGATCTCTACTGTGTTGTGTAACATGTCGGCGGCCTGCTCCAGTGCTAGGATCTCTGCTGTGTTGTGTAACATGTCAGCGGCCTGCTCCAGTGTTAGGATCTCTGCTGTGTTGTGTAACATGTCAGCAGCCTGCTATAGTGCTAGGATCTCTACTGTGTTGTGTAACATGTCAGCAGCCTGCTCCAGTGCTAGGATCTCTACTGTGTTGTGTAACATGTCGGCAGCCTGCTCTAGTGCTAGGATCTCTACTTTGTAGTTGGAGATTAAAACATCAGCCATGATAATCCTCTATATACACATCTCTGTAAGCTTCTTGGGCCATACACCCCCCACCATTTTTCCCTCTTGACGGTTACAAAGCGACCTGAGGTAATGGTGTATTGCAGGTCTCTGCATCCCTTTTTGTTTATGTTTCAGAATGCAGTCGTGGAGTAGTAGTACATTTTAGCCCCGATAGGACATCACACAAGCGATAAACACCCGATGACACAAAGTGCCACCAAACGAATGGGGATCACCGGTGGAGAGGTCCCGGAAACCGCGTTCAGCCATTAGACCATATTTATGGCCGGGCTATATTGCAACCCCTGGAAAGAGCGAGGTTGTGGCTTCAAAATAACGAAAAATTGCATCCCACAAGGGGAAGACTGGATAGAGTGAGTCGTCTGGCTTGGCTTTTTATACCCCACTAGGACATCACACAAGCGATAAACACCCGATGACACAAAGTGCCACCATGCGGATGAGGATCACCGTGGAGAGGTCCCAGAAACCGCGTTCAGACAATTGGCCATATTTATGGCCTGCCTATATTGCGGCCCCTGGCAAATGCCAGAGTAGGGCTTCAAATGACAAAAAAATTTCGTCCTGAAAAGGACGAAACTGGATAATCTCTCAGAGAGAGTCGTGGAGTGGGAAAACTATTAATTAAACAACAAAGCCATAGCTTTGCATTAATAATTCTGTCATACCGTTCAATTCCCTCCACTCTAGCTCAAGCAGTACTTGAATGTTTGTAAACTGTTTATCATTGTTTTAGTTTGTCTTCATGTTTCTGAGTTCCTGAGCCACAGAACAGCATTGCAAATTTTTCTTACAAGTAAGTTAAAATAAATATGTAAGAACTGAATGCGTGTACTCCTTGGCAGGAGTTTCTTCCCTTGGAGAGGACGGGCAGGAGAAAGTAGTCGATACTACTCGATACAGACTGGACAAGGTCGCCAAGATGTCTTGGGTGAGCAACTTGTGGAAAACTTATAAACACAACAACGGACTTATTGGATCATATCTGAAACTGTTTCGGTTTGTGAAACTCTTGTTATTCATCTCTATAGTGTAGAATATGTGGGAATACGTATTTTGCAAGGAAATAACTGAGCTGAAGAATAGAAAACATCCAGTTTACTACTGAAGTGACCGATCATTTTGTCAAGTCTTCGTCTGAATTGAAAAATTCAAGTTTTAATTATGGGGGGGGGGGGGGGATACTCGGAATAGTAATTCTACTTGATAGGAGAGGAACCAACAACAGACGTATAAACCACATCCTTAAAACTGACGTACACACATAACTCAAGTTCTCAGTCTAGAAATTGTACGAAGACCAAGAACTTTCCTCTGGGGTTTACACTGATAAACACACTCATACACACACACACAAAGGGAAAAAGAAGAATTTTGGGCTATCCTCCGAACTTCGGGCACTAAAGATGGCGGCCGCAAAATATCCTTTCGAGCTACAGTCACGTGACATAATTTGCGGTTTTCCGGCGACTACCGCCATGAGTCCCCCACGCCGCTCATGTGGCGTGGATTTGGGCTAAACTAGAGGCTAGGACTCACGAGCAAAGCTTCAGGAGATGCGGAAGCTGCTGCTCGTGGGTCCTAGCCATCTAGTTAAGCCCCAATCCACAAGGCATGGGGGACTCGTGGCGGTTGTAGTAGTCGCAGGAGGACCGCAAATTAAGTCGCCGGAAGTGCGCAATTGACACGTGACTGTGGCTCGAAAGGATATTTTGCGGCCGCTATCTTTAGCGCCCGAAGTTCGGAGGATAGCTGAATTTTGTTTTTAAGTTAGATTAAAATTAAAAATGTAATAATGTGAATTCCCCCCAGTTAAATAGATACATTTGATTAGCAAAAATAAGATGGTATCATATTGATCGTAATAAAATGTATTAAATTTTATTAATTTATGAATAAAAGTAAGCTGGATGTAGTCCACAGTTTTAATATATTTATGCATCAAAAGTGCACAACTCAATGCTGAAACATTACCAAATCATTACTAATTGGAGGTTGTCCATCACTTTTTAGATATTGGGTTACTATGTCTGTCGGCAGGAGGAACTTGGCAACTTTGTCATGCCAGTGCCTCCTCCTTTTCTGCAAATTTGACCCAACACTCTTCTGGTTCATCAGGGATTCAACCCTTCCTGATATGGCTCTTTAGAATTTTCAGTCGTTTCCCAAGCTTAGAATGTTGATGAAAGAGAACCATTTCTTCTTCTTCGTGTGTACTGGCTGTGAGCGCCAGCTTAAAGTTCTGGTTGTTTGTCCACTTCTGGACTTTAGTCTTGCTCCAGAACTTGAATTTTGTTTGTACATCCATTTTACAGATCTGGCTCATTTGCTTGCAGACTTTTCGTTCCTTGCCACTCAGGCAGATGCCCTTCGACTTTGAAGGAAGCACCCAATTAGTTGACTCTTATGACATACTTATTAGGAAGGCAGTGGGTCTATTCTTGTTCTCTTACAATGGGGCCCCAGAACCCACACAATTTGATTCTGAGATATGCAACATGTTTAATAAACTATTTCTTCCCCAAAGAGGCTTCCTAAAAAGCCTCCAAAGTGGGAAGAGTGTGTTCAGCCCCAAGGAAAGTAAAGGGGATTATGGTTATGGTTGCAGCCACCCATGTTAGCCACTCTATTTTGCCAAGCCACACTTTGTAAACATACTTTAAAAAAAATTCACTTAGATGTTACTATTTAATGCTGACTGTTGTGTTGTGAAATTTCCAGAACTGATGACTTGAAATGGGGCACTCTGATTGGAGAAGATAAATTCGGCAACAAGTATTACCAGAATACATATTTCTTCTTGGGTTGGTACCATTTTAATTTTATTCATGAATTAGTACATGACCATCCCTGTGTGGGTTCCAGGGCCCTGTTATGGAGGAAACAAGAATGGACCCACTCAAAAGCATGTCGTAAAAGTCGACTAATTGGGAGCTTCCTTTGACATTGGAGAATCTGCCTGAGAGACAAGAACAAACAGTCTGCACACAAATTAGTCAGATCTGTCAAACTGATGCACAAGCAACATTCAGCTTATGAAACAGGACTGCAGTCCAGAAGTGGACAAACAACAAGAACTTTCTGCTGGAGTTTACATCTGGTGAACGCAAAGAAGAAGAAGTATATTACCACCCCTCCCCACATGTGGCCTTTTGCAAGCACAAAAAGGAAATATTCTATAATAATTTTTCTTGCAATTAGTTGTCCTATATGGCTCTTATGACGTCATTTGACCAATATGGCTCTAGGGGGACACTCAGATTGACATGTCTTCTGCTCCATATCGGCGTAAAGAGGCCCCGGCTATCTTCCAAATAACAGTCCCAAATTATCGAAGCAGAAAATATACCCTAACAGGGCCTCAGTCATGTGTCAATTGTGCACTTCCGCCACCGCCTAGAGTATCGCACACGCGGCGTGGATTGAGGCTAAACTAGATGGCTGGGGGTGCGTAATTGACACGTGACTGAGGTTCTGTTAGGGTATATTTTCTGCCTCGATAATTTGGGACCGTTGTTCGGAAGATAGCTCCTTTTGTGGGGAAAACAAGAATAGACCCACTGCCTCCCCATCAAGCATGTTATATAAGTCGACTAACTGGGAGCTTCTTTCAAAGTTAGAATGCATATGCCTTAGAGGCAAGAACCAACAAAATGCATACACTTAAGTCAGGTCAGTTAAACGGATGTGTAGGCAATAATCAGAGGTTCTGGAAAAAGACTAAAGTCCAGAAGTTGACAAACAACCAGAACTTTCTCCTGGAGTTTACAGCCAGTGAACGCAAAGATAAAGCAAAGGTTACACAACTATTTACTCAATTTATGTGTTAGTTAAGTTTTGTATTTACATTAATTTTTGTGTTTAAATGCTTTCTTTTATGCTACGATTGCTTACATTTTCACAGTGAGTAATATAATCTGTGACCTACCGAAAAGATAATAAGTAATAAATGTGCATGGATCCTGGTAAAAAGGTCCATTCCCAGTTCATTTGCCATGAATCTTTGTGATATGATGCCAGGCCTGAATCTGTGGGGTATGAGGCCAGGCCTGAATCTGTGGGGTATGATGACAGGTCTGAATCTGTGGGGTATGATGCCAGGCCTGAATCTGTGGGGTATGATGCCAGGCCTGAATCTGTGGGGTATGATGACAGGTCTGAATCTGATGCCAGGTGTATGAATCTGTGGGGTATGTTGACAGGCCTGTGGGGTATGATGCCTGAATCTGTGGGTATGATGCCAGGCCTGAATGATGCCTGAATCCAGGTCTGAATCTGTGGGGTATGATGAATCAGGTAGGCCTGAATCTGTGGGGTATGATGCCAGGCTTGAATCTGACATCTGAATCTTGGGGTATAGGCCATGCCAGGGTATGAGGCCATCTCTGTGGGTATGATGCCAGGTCTGAATCTGTGGGGTATGAGGCCAGGCCTGAATCTGTGGGGTGTGATGCCAGGCCTGAATCTGTGGGGTATGATGCCAGGTCTGAATCTGTGGGGTGTGATGCCAGGTGTCTGAATCTGTGGGTATATTCATCGAATCTGTGGGGTCAAATGATGCCAGGTTTATGGAAGTGTATGATGCCAGGTGTATGCTGTGGGGTATGATGCAAGGGTGTCTGAATCTGTGGGTATGATTATAGGTCTGAATCTGTGGGGTATGATGCCAGGTGTCTGAATCTGTGGGGTATGATGCCAGGTGTCTGAATCTGTGGGGTATGATGCCAGGTGTCTGAATCTGTGGGGTATGATGCCAGGTGTCTGAATCTGTGGGGTATGATGCCAGGTGTCTGAATCTGTGGGGTGTGATGCCAGGTGTCTGAATCTGTGGGGTGTGATGCCAGGCCTGAATCTGTGGGGTATGATGCCAGGTGTCTGAATTTTTGTCAGGCCTTTGTCAGTCTCATTCATTCTTTTCAAACAGCCCAAGTGAGTGAAGCGGTTGGCCTAATACCAACTGGCTTGATTCCCCTAATAGTCTCTGGTACCTGTTTTATGTGATTGATGTGATCCTGCTACTAAATTGTCTTACTTACTTAGTCGCCCCTCTTCCACCTTGTGGTGTAGAGGTTTGCCAGACTTCTCTGTCAGCAGTTTTCTTTTTGGCTTTGTTCTATTCCAGTCTTCTGTCAGGCAGGATCATGTAATAAAGGTTAGAAAGTTATATCACATATTTATTTTATCTTTCAATTGTTAAAATGTGTAAATAACAATTGTCTTCTTGTCAAAAATGACAAGGCCGCAGTCGATGGATGGAATATTCCTTACAGTTTGGCCATGACTATGATGCTAGCCAGATTCTTCCAGAGTGGTGAGTCATTACAGAATATTAATGCATTGTTTCCCCATTGTAAATGTTGACATAGAAGACACAAACAATAGATTGTACATTTATTTCCAGAAATATTTCGCTGTATCTCATCAGACGCATACAGGAATCTGATCCCATTGCTCAGAATATCAGGGGAATGAAGCATTTTGTATCACTAGCAAATGATGGGTCTTGTTTGAAGTTAAAATAGACATTTCCCAAAATGTAATACTGGACACATTACCAGTTTTTTTAGCTTGGCCATTAGAATATAAACCTAATTCTGCATCATTTATATCTGGCAGTCTGCATAGAAATTCTTCTTTGGCTACTGGATGAGCATGTGTGGAAATGTCTGAGGGTGTTGGTATAATTTCTTGACTATTTAAATAGTTCAGTCAAGTTTTAATTCAGTCACATCCCTAATTGCATGTGAAATATTTTACTTTACTTATGACAACAGATTCCACATTGTAGTTCAAACATGACCTCTATCTTGGATATATATTTATTTACTGTATATTCCCTCTGCTGTTGCAACTGAAGATTTCACACCCACTGACTCAAAGAGCAACTTTTTGGATGCCAATCCAATATGAACAAATTCCAGATACCCTGCTCTGCCATATAAACGCATTTATTTTGGGACACTCTCTAAAGCTGTAAAAAAAATAACTTGCTGTCCTGAACGGGTAGTGTTCTTCTTAATAATTGTAAGTGAATTTAGGAAACAAATAATGTCTAAGAAGGTTTTTATTTTTGGTTTGAGTTGAGATCTATCAGCAACATACTGAGTTCAATTACATAAGTGCACCATTATTAGCAGCTGGTGAAGAGTTCCAGTGCCGATGGTACTGGTAGCAGTGTGATTGAATATCTGTCTTGCCTGTCCTCTTGAGTATGAGTAGATGAGTATACTTGTCATTTCATATTATGAACTTATTCACAGGCATCGCTGGATGAGCTACATGACGGATGACCCACCAACCACTCATCCACTGCCACGTAGAGAATGGATGATGGAACACACAGAAAACCTGAGTGGCACCCGAAGAGAATATGTTCCTTATAGCACAGTTCGTCCGAAGATTGAAGCCTGGGTCCCACCAAGTAGTCAGAAATAGCTCATCTGGCCTCAGTTATAATATCAGCTAGCATGATAACAGGAGAATGTTCAGTGTGTGTCTAACTGAAGAATCAGAGCAACATTTGTGAATTTGTTTATTCTGTTGGTACTTAGCTGTTCTTTTATGCTGTAAATAGGCATCAACATATAATAACTTGTGGTTGAAACTAGTAACAGTCCAGTAAATAGTCTTATGTTTATGAACTGTGCCCACTAGAAACTTGTGGACATATGTTTGTCTCGGGGCCTCGGCAGTTTTGGTTGCGCTGATTGCATGTCTTCTAATTACTTGCAATAAACAGATGGGAAATAAAATTATTCAAATGATTGTTTGTTGTATTCATTGACTCCTAAGTTAATGATCAGTGAATGTTCATTGTATGATATGGTCTTTTTATGGCTTTTTGTTCGTTAATATTTATAACTTGAAACAGTTCTCAGTCCATATTGTTGAATAGCAGTGAATTTGTCTTGTGATCGCTCCCTGTGTTATGCCGACAGACAAGTTCTTGTGATATAATTTCCTGTTTTTAGGAGTTTCCTTTAAGTTCCATACAGCTTTGACTCAGTGGACCAGTTTTCACTTCTTAATGGGCTGTACATGAGACATTCTTGCAGGACATGTTCGGCAGGTTGCACACACAGCCCACAATTGCACAGTGGTGAACTACTTAGGCGAGGCCTGTGCATATGCTGGTTAAGTTTGTTATGTCCTATTATAAGGAATAGAAGGATGACCTGCTAATGCCGGTCAAGTAAGTAGTGGGCAGGACTGCATGAAACTGTCTTCAGAGTCTTTTGCCTTGATGAACAAAGCTGCTACAATTTGAGTTGTGGTTTTTTTTAAGGGGGGGGGGGGGGGGGGGGCATCTTCTACAACTTGTGACAGGTAGGTGACTAGGTCTTCTGCTGTAACATTCTTAAATATGGCTTGCTCTGGCACCAAGATGTGCTAAGATTCTAAGTGCTGTTTCAATTTTGACATTTCCTTCCAGTTTCTTTCCTACACAGCTTGTGAGACTGATTAGTGAGTAGCATGAAACCTGGGTCTTAATTTTTCAGTTTTATTTATTTTAAGTTTTTATGGTTATTGTTATGCATAGAGAAATGTGTGTCCTTTGTTTTGAGTCTTCTGTTGACTTTTGTGTAACCAAAGTTTGAGCAACTTGTGACCTGTTTTATTCCTTTGTTTTGTAACAATTAGTCCCCCCCCCCCCCACACACACACACACACAGTTTTGTATAGACACATGTGCGAGCACACAGAGAAAGAGAGAGAGAAATCGATTAGGTTTAAGTTAGTCTCCCCAAACAAAGTAGATCACGTTTCATTCACAAGTTTGTTGCACTGGTCTACTTTCCTAGAGGTTACGCATGTGTCGCTCTGTTGTTTGCTTTCTGGGTTGTCTTGCATTTATGTTTTTATTCTGAGAAAGAGAATGCCCGTGACATAGGTTGCAGCACTTTCTAGGTGGGTTGTGTTGTACCCAGTTTGTCCATGTATTTAGAGTGTTAAAAGCGCTGGCGTGCTGAAATATACAAAACTCCCTTAATCTTGTGCTAAGATTACGTGGCTCAAGGTCTACAAATCAGAAGTGAGCTAGTGTGTATGTTGACGAGATCTGGGGAGCTAAACGTTACTTTTACAGAGAAATCTTTCAAAATGATACAGAGTATATTTAAAATGAGGTCAAGATTCCACTTGTATGCTGGTCGACTGGTGCTGACCTGATTGTTGTATAGGCCAGTTTGTACTCTCTGGGTGATGTGGTCAGTATTGGGTTGGCTGCCTTTACTTCAGAGAACATTTCCTGATATCTATTTTAGGCTGTGTTGACTAGGTAGTCCAAGTCAATTTTATAAATAATATACATATTTCTTTTAGTCTATGTCTTGATGTTGTCTTCCTCTTGCATCCTTCACCCTTATTTTCCCATCCACACACGCTCCATCAATACATGATTGTGCGAGAGACTGGTTACTGGCTGCCGACCTGCCTGGTTTCGGAGAGTACCCAGAGTCAATCCAAAAGACTGGCCTGAGACAAGAGATGGTCGAACACTCCGCGGAAAAACGCCAGCTCATCCTGATATAGCTGACCGTGCCGCGCGAGTTGCGGATGTTGGAATGTCACTTAAACAAGATCGAAAAGCATGGTGGCCGGCCTGAGGAGAGACGAAGCATACTCAGTTTAAATCTTCGCTGTCGAGGTAGGCACAAGAGGTCTTATCTCCACTTCCACATACAATGTGCTAAAGCAGCTGGGCTTGCGAGGGAACAAGTGCAAACGGTCTCTGAAACAACGGTGAAGCTGCTGAAAGAGCTTCAAGCTAGCTCTGGACGCAATGAAACGTCGGGGGGGGGGGGGGGGCCTCGGTAGACTGGTCTGAGTCCCCTAGTGGAGAGGAAATGTTCATCCCTAAAAAGCCAGTGCCCGACAAATGTCTGCCAGTGTCTCTCTGACAATTGCAAACCTAAGCTTGTCAATCTGGTCGTGAAGGTAGGCGGCAAATTTGTTACCGCAGCGACACACACACACACACATATATATGTGTGTGTGTCACATTTCCTGTTGCAAAGTAACTTTTTCATTTTGTCCCTGTCCGATTAAATGCAGCAGGGGAACAAGGATCTGGCATCATGAAACGGGCCGCCCGCCTTCCAAAATTGCGTAGGACAGTGTTTCCCAAACATTTCTTAGTCGCTGCGCATTTTTTCAATTACAAATTTTTCCACGGCGCCCCGACCTAAGTAAAAGTATGACTATTCGTATTTAAGATAATGAAAAAAATCGTGTATTTTCGAATATTTCACAGCGCCCCTGTGAAGAGGTCCCGTGGCGTACGGTTTGGGAATCACTGGTCTAGGATATCGGCCCGAAAAAAAATTGAGACAAGGGACCACTCTACTGGTGATCAGTAGCCGCTCCTGCGATTGCTCCCATCTGGACTGTCTGTCTTCTTTTACCCCACCAGGACATCACACAAGCGATAAACACCCGATGACACAAAGTGCCACCATGAGGGTCACCCATGGAGAGGTCCCAGAAACCGCGTTCAGCTATTAGACCATATTTATGACCGTGCTATATTGCGGCCCCTGGCAAGAGCCAGAGTAGTGCTTTAAATAACTAAAAATTGCATCTCACAAGGAGATAACTAGATATGTATCCCATTTGGAGTTTGTCCTGTTTATTTAACAAGAAAAATTGTCTCTTTATGAACACTAATAATGTTGGCTCTCCTTCGAATCAGCCCCCAAAATGGCGGCTTTAATATGATGGCGTTCGAAAGAGAGCTAAATTGGCCAATGTCTTGTCATAAAATATCCGAATGCGGTTCAGTTCTATTAAAAAATATATGTGCCGGTTCTGGATAACGAAACAAATGCTCTGACAGGGTCTCGGCGACCTGCTTCTGCGAGTGTGCCTCACCGCCGCATCTCCTGCAACTTCCTCCAATTACTGTACTCGTGAGTCCCCCATCCGCGCCGCACGTAGCGGCCCGGGGAATACATTCGGCGATGAGTTTAATCGCGTTTGGCGCATGCCGACAAGTCTGACATGCTAAATCCTCCAATCGGAAGAACGCAGTATTGCTAATCGGCTTTCATCGTCTGTAATGTCTCGAAATTGGTCAACGGTCGCTAATATCGTTTGCTAGTATCGTCTGCAGAAACGCTCGAAATTGTTGTCAACGGTCGGTGTTTATCGTCTGCTACTACCGTGTGCAATGCTGATATTGATTGCATAAATCACCGCGCCACATTGTCAAGTAATCCTAGTTTTACCGCGATTTGTTCCTTGGCAGAAAGTCCGTATTTTAAATATACGCGAACACCGTCGTTCGGATATTTTTGGATATTTTATGGCCAGAATGCGGCATGCCGCCATTTTAGGGGTTGATTCAAAGGAGAGCCATAATGTTAATTGGTCAGCTTCAGACGTGTGCTAGTTCTGGTGCACTTATGATCGGCGGCAACCTAGTTCCGGAACTTCGCTACGCAGATGACAGTTCTCATTTTGAACAGTGTAAAAGGAATAGAAAATTTAATCCCGTCTCTCCCAAAACCTAGTGAAGATCAAACCCCCCCCCCCCCTTTTTTTTCCCCACAAAAAATAATTATTATTATTATGTTCACAGACACACACACACACATTGAAAATCACAAACTGAGTTTCTAGGCCCCATAATAAACAGCACAATATAATTCAAAAGGAAGAGGGCCGTAGCAATGTAAAGACTAAACAGCGTAAACAATCTTTGGCCAAACCCGGACAAGCAAATCAAACTCAATATTTTGGGAGCTGCATCTTTCCTGTAACAACATACAGATGTTAGTCATGGACTTTTTTTACAATCATTATGAAGGAGTAAAAAAAGGAGCTTTAAAGCTTAAATACTATAGAAAGATTCTCATAATACTAATAGCCAAGAATAGATTCTAAAATATCTGAATTTTGAAAAAATTTGGCTCAAACCCAGAATTTTGTCTCAGAAACTGAATTATTTTGGTGGTTTGGGAACAACAGTAATTGATGGCATGGTGCTGGATTAGGTGGGCAGAAGCTGTGAAGATGAATACAGGACGTAAGAGACACATTGGGCAGAAAAGTGCATACGGTGGGAGAGCTGGTGAGGGACAAAGTTTTTATCAGACGGAAAGAGCCTTAATACTCGTGGTCTTCTTAATCGTTCGCCCGAATGGGGTAAATGTGTTGTGCCTGTTTACAGCATAGTTGCGATATTTTCGCTTTCGACTGACGTGAGCAGGCATTTGTTAACCTTCTCGTTTAGTTTCGCTGGACATTGAGCCTCAAGTGTGTGATGATTTCGTCATTCCCTAATCCTCATATGTTGTCCCCAGAGGACTCACCCAGGGCAGCCGCGGGCAGATTGGTCGACCTTCAAGGGAGGGCGGGAGCAGACTAGTGATGGAGGTTTCCATCAAATCTTATCGGAGACATAGTGCTCTGGTGCTGGGCTCACCCAAGAAGTGTCACGCTCAGCACATGACTGCTTGACCTCACATCCATATACTGGGTCGTCCATCCATTACAGGCAATGCCCTTGAGAGATTGTTGGGAAGCAGCCTACAGACATGAGACACCAATTCCATGCATAAATAGGCAAAACACTTTCTCAGCAAAGCTCATGTTTTTTTTTTTCGGGGGGCTTATTTACAAGTAGACTGCACTTTCGCTTTGCAGATCTGGCTTATTTACAAGTAGACTGCACATCCGCTTTACAGATCTGGCTTATTGACAAGTAAACTTGGTTCCTCGCCTTTCAGGTAGATGCCTCCCGACTTCAAAGGAAACATCCCTAATTAGTTGCCGTATACGACAGGCTCGTTAAGAGGCAACGGCTCTATCTCCTTACCCCCCCCCCCTCCTCCTATCCCCAATGGGAACACAGGAAGACATGATATCCGAGTGCGTTGGTTGCTCTCCGACGAGTGTAGTCATTGTTAGCGGACGTTTGAATCTTTTGTGTCATAGAGTATGATCTTTGAGGGCGGCACATCTGAACCTTTGCTGTCATACAGTGGGCACTCCACAAACAGATATCTGTAGCTTATCACCCACGCAAACTAAAATACCCATCCAACTGATTTATTTAATTTTATTTGAAACACACCCTCTTCCTCGTGTGTGTGTCTTCTTATGTTATAGATCCTCTCTGCCGTTTAACATTTTCTGCCTTGTCGTATCTCTCCCCCTCTCTCTCTCTCTCTCTCTCTCTCGCTTCACCCCCCCCCCCTCCTAAACTCCCCAATATGCATTAGTCCTATGAAAGGACTATATTATCTTGGATAAAAACAAGAACAAATTAGCCTCGCATAAAAAAAAAAAACGGAAGCAGATTATCAAGGGTGGCTACTCACAAAGTTGCCATACGAACTTAAACAGACGATCAGAAAGTTGATGTCAGCGATCAGTCTTCCTGGACACAAAATTGTGCCTTCCTTTGCACAATCTCGGTTCTGGTTTGTTCTCTTAAATCACATGCACAGGCTTATTGGTAAATCTAGAAGAAAACTTTTTCAGTTTTCTATCAAATCTGATAAATTGGAACTCGGCTGGATTATCATGATAGCATTGATTGATAGTTCTTGAGGCTAGGGTCGAAGGACGAAGGATAGCGGTTCAGTCAAAATCTGTTCCAGATATTGAGATATATTGCCATTGCCTATGTAAGTTAGACGACGGACGTTACAATTACCTATTCCAGCCTAGCGGTAAATTTTCGCCATGCTAAAACTTTAAACAGAACCCTTTTATTTAGAACCGAGGATATAGCAAAAAAGCAGACAATACAGTTTTTGGCTATCCTCCGAATAACGGGCACAAAAGATGGTGGCCGCAAAAAACCCTAACAGAGCCTCATTCACATGTCACTTGCCCACTTCCGGCGTGGATTGGGGCTAAACTAGATTTCTGCGACTCACGAGCAGCAGCTTCCGCATCTCCTGAAGCTTTGCCCGTGAGTCCTAGCCATCTAGTTTAGCCCTAATCCATGCCGCATGAGCGGCATGGGGATACACTCGGCGGTGGTGGTAGTCACCGGAAAACCGCAAATTAGGTCGCCGGAAGTGTGCAATTGACACGTGACTGAGGCCCTGTTTTTGGCCGCCATCTTTTGTGCCTGTTATTTAGAGGACAGCCTGGGTATCTTATTGAAGCTTTTCTGTCAATCATAGAATGGGTGATTAATTTTAGGGGAATTATAATTAGATCTGTGATTTGTACAAAAGACAGTTGTATAAAACGACGCTTGCCAGCGTGTTTCCACTGGTACTTTATAAAACAATCCTCAGTGGAGCTGTAGCACTGATATAAGCTACAGTTAATGTCTGAGTTTGATATTGCAGCGGCCACCAGACTGGTTTCTGAAAGATGAAGATATTGTATAATACCCCACCCCCACACAGTGAGAGAAAGTTGATTTTTATATTTCAAAGACACTGCAGAAAGACTGAAATATAAAAGAAGTTTTTACCTCTCAAAGCAGAATGGAGAAAGAATAAACAAGCTATTTCTGCACTTAATCATACCACACAAAGAAGAGACCACATTGAATAATTGATTGTAATTCACCCGTACATTCCAGGTTCAAAGGTTAAAGAAGACATTAAAGTAGGTGTACATCCCAGGGTAAAAGGTTAAAGAAGACAGTAAAGTACCTGTACATCCCAGGGTAAAAGGTTAAAGAAGACATTATAGTAGGTGTACATCCCAGAGTAAAAGGTTTAAGAAGACAATAAATTAGGTGTACATTACAGGGTGAAAAGTTAAAGAAGACAAATACATGTACATACCCGGGTAAAAGGTTTAAGAAGACTAAAATACCTGTATATCCCAGGGTGAAAGGTTAAAGAAGACAATAAAGTACCTGTGCATCCTAGGGTGAAAGGTTATAGAAGACAATAAAGTACCTGTGCATCCCAGGGTAAAAGGTTAAAGAAGACAATCAAATACCTGTACGTCCCAGGGTGAAAGGTTAAAGAAGGCAATAAAGTACTTGTACATCCCAGGGTGAAAGGTTAAAGAAGACAATAAAGTTCTTGTACATCCCAGGGTGAAAGGTTAAAGAAGACAATAAAGTACCTGTACATCCCAGGGGGAAAGGTTAAAGGAGACAATAAAGTACCTGTACATCCCAGGGGGAAAGGTTAAAGGAGACAATAAAGTTCTTGTACATCCCAGGGGGAAAGGTTAAAGAAGACAATAAAGTTCTTGTACATCCCAGGGGGAAAGGTTAAAGAAGACAATAAAGTTCTTGTACATCCCAGTGGGAAAGGTTAAAGAAGACAATAAAGTTCTTGTACATCCCAGGGGGAAAGGTTAAAGAAGACAATAAAGTTCTTGTACATCCCAGTGGGAAAGGTTAAAGAAAACAATAAAGTTCTTGTACATCCCAGGGTGAAAGGTTAAAGAAGACAATAAAGTACCTGTACATCCCAGGGTTAAAGGTTTAAGAAGACAATAAAGTACCTGTACATCCCAGGGGGAAAGGTTGAAGAAGACAATAAAGTACATGTACATCCCAGGGGGAAAGGTTGAAGAAGACTAAAATTCCTATATATATCATGTGAGGAAAACATTTATTTTTACATCTCATGATAGAAGAGAAATAGGTTAAATAAGACAATAGGTCATTTTTACATTCCATTGTGAAGAGAGGAAAACCTACCTAAAAAGACTTAACATATTTTTACATCCAGGATATTTGTTAAACAGCATGTGAAGAAGATAGAAGACCTCCACGTGCTGGCCTAGAGAACTGATGGGAGATCACCAACTACTGAGACAGTCAACTGGTGGAAGAGCTTCAACTGCAGGGATAGGGAACTGATTTCTTAGAAATGGCCTGGTCCTGGAGAAAAGCTGTTCCTGGTGGTGGCGATGACCCAGCTTGGAGCCAGGATCAGCCTGACAGTAAACGGAGGAAGGTGGATGTGCCACAGGTGGAACAGGCAGAGAAGCAGGATGTCACAGATGATGAATGGGGCGATGATGATTACACACAGGATCAGTTGGAGGAGCTAGCTTTACTGGATTCTCAAGCGGTCATGCAGGTACAGTGTTGATGTTGTTAAATTCGTTGAGGTTTGGCAATGTCTTATTGTGTTGGAAGTGGTGATTTATCGGTTCGTATGCATGTTTCTCAACACAGAGGCACACACATGTTAGGATTGTAACAGACTCTAAAAGCTTGCTGAGAAAGGTGAGCAATCACATGTCAGAGGTCAGGAGTAGTTAGCACGGTTGGATCATTTCTCTACAGCATGCTGGTGTGTTGAACACCCTGAAACATCTGTACAGTCAGGAAGGCTTGATTGGTCACCAAACAGAAAGATGTTGTTATCACAGTTTCTAAAAATTTAAAGTCCACCATGACCACACCACTGTCTTTCATTACACTGTCTGCTGCAGCTAACACTTCTAGGAAAATGATTGAACATTTATTACTCTGCATATTTGTCTAGACTTGATGCTCCTAATATTTATCTCTAGTTGATCAGCTGTACTTGTGTCCATCATTGGTGCTCTGTGAGGAACCTACTACTGTAATGAGCACCAGGAGGAGTACGTTGTCTGCATCAAAACCTTGATCCTGGAGAAAATAACAGCACGTTGTGTGAGAGAAAGCTGTTGAAATCATCTGAAGGAATCAGATAGATCTTTGAGAGAAAGTCAAGAGACCCGGTAAATCTACAAACTGCAGCCTAAACAGGTGCAGTTTGTGATGAATGGCAGGCCTAGTATATGTAAATGAAACTGAGGGTTAGCAGTCATGTGCAGGATGCAACTCTTGGGTGAGCCTAGAACCAGAGCGTGGCTCAGCTTTGCTTTGAATAAAAGCTTCTTTGCATTGGTGTTGTCCTTGTCTTTTCTTGAGGGTAGAAGGGCATACAAATGGTTATGGATGGGCTTGGTTGGTTTCTTTTTTCCATAGACACATTGGATGCAGATAATGAGACCACATTGAGTTTGTGGAATGTCCCTTGAAACTACCCAGTTAAGTAAATCCGGTCAACACTACTGGAAAGAAGTTTCAAGTGTCTACTAAAATGCTACAAGTGACACATTTATGTTGTAATGAGATGTAAAACAAAGATACTGTTTAACAGTAGGGATCCCCTCCCTCCCCCTGTCCCCCATTTCTGAAGGTATATTCTAGATATTCTTATTTTCTCTAGCCCCAGGAAGCTGTTGCAGCATTGAGAGTTGAACAGCCCAGTGTGTCCAGAGCTGACCAGTTCAGTGCGCCCAGAGCTGACCAGCCCAGTGCGCCCAGAGCTGACCAGTCCAGTGGTTCTTTTGTTATACCTGTTGGTGCTGCAAGAAGGTCAACATCTTCCAGCTCCAACAGCTCGGCTGTTTCACAGTCTCTGTTCTCCAGGTGATTGTTTGGTGTAGCTTCACTGTTTCCATGTTGTACTCTACACACTTGACTGTATTGTAATATTTATTGGAGTTTTGTGTGTGTGTGTCTCAAGTGGTACACTGAAGGGCATTTCTTGTTATCTTCGCTGCACAGGAACGGAACAATTCTGGAGTAACCATTTTCCAGTGAAGATAAAAACATTGACTCCTGTAGCTGCTGCCACATGGGAACACACACACACACACACACAGAGTACACAACCACAGTTATAACCATGGCTGTGCTCAGCAGGTTGAACATGGTGACTTATTTTCTTTAATAGTTTAAAAAAAAAAATCTGGTTACCAAAGCTGATAATACAGTAAAACAATACTTGAGGTGCCATAAGCCAAGTCCAGGTAATGCTGTTAATGAAATCTCTAAGGGACATTCACAGCAGCTTAATAAGAGATGTTTTCTTCTGTATTTGTTGATTTAAGCCGGTCAGCTCATGAAACCAGTACATCTCTGTCCTCCCATTCATCAAGCAACGGTAAACTGGACACATCTCTAGAGCTGGTACATACTTTACAGGCCAGACTGGATGAGGAGGTGAGTCACCTTATATATGCTTCTTTTTTTCTTTTAAAGTTTGAATTTATTGTTTAACTTGGAAGCTATTATCATTTTTCAGTTAGACGCTGCTGCTTCTCAGTTCACCCTTAAAAGGTTCCTTGGCACATTGTGTTTTACAGCTAGGCTGTGCCATCTACACCTTTCTGGTGACCTCATCAGATTTCAGCAAAACCTTAATTAGTCAGCTTTTATTACATGCTTAAAGGGCAGAGGGTCTTTATTTTCTCCCAAACTGGGTCAGAAACCCACACATTTGAAGCCCCCACTCAAAAAGACCAAGTTTTCCTGTTCTGAATTCTTTTATTAGGAAAAGAGATTCTGGTATTTCAAGTCCAGAGTTGTGCCTGTTAGGTAATAATATTGCAAATATTCTCAATAATGAGAACTCTTCTTTTGCTGTTTTCATTATTTCAGAAACGCAAGGCGCAAGAAGCGAAGAATTGTTCTGACGGACAGGTCAAAACTCTGCGCGAGAAACTACATAAGCAAGAAGAGGAGCTGGAGAAACTGAGGGCTTTGAGAGATGAAAGTTATGAGCAGCAGAAGCAGACGCTGACTGAGGAGATTCACAAACTGAAGTCACAGTTGGGCAACTTGACCACACAGTCATGCTTTAAGGTACACTGTGTTTCACAGTTAGCCCATATGGGAGAATGTGCTGGGGATTGTGTGTGTGTGTGTGTGCAGTCAGTTTTATTATTAAAGGTTGGATAAGAATCCATGCATGTTAAACAAATCAATTCAATTTTGACAGGGTACATAGACTTATTTATTTGTGTGTGTATATTTGAGAGAGAGAGAATAAACACACTTTATTTTTAAAGGGTCACGAGAGAGAGAGAGAATGAATAAACATACTTTATTTTCAAAGGGTCATGAGAGAGAGAATGCTGTGGCTATACTTTTTTAGACACAGGCGAAAAACGGAGCATCTTGGATTAAAGCATATTAGAGTGGGTTACTGGAATTGTTGTAGTGCAAAGCATAGAGGACCTGTACTGGAGAGACTGATTTATTTGTGGGGATTTCAGTGCACGGAACAGAGCCTGGGACAGTAGTGGGGGAAAAAAGGCAAGGAAAGGCTTTAGCAGCGGCTATAGTGGATGCAGATGTAGTCTGTTAAAAAAAAATGACGTTAGACCAACAAAATGGCAATGAGACCTGGTGATGCAGACACTGCCATTGATTTGGCATTTTTTACCCAGTCAGCAGTGCTAGACACAAAATGGAGTGTCCATGGGAGTGACCATATTCCATGCTCAGTCTTGATTTCTAAAGCTAGCAAGATCAGGGCTGTGAGAATGCGCAGGACTTTTAAGTATGAGAGGGACAGTACCCTTCTTGGACACCTTCGACAGAAGGTATGTAGCAGAACCACCATCACTGCCTTTGTGCAGTCCCCATGGTTGACCCAAGAAGTAGAAAAGGCATGAAGAGCAAAACGAGCAGTAGTTAAGAAATTACAGAAAGTGCGAAAGGCACCTCACAGGTTACAAGAGAATATAGAGAGGCTAGAAAGAATTAGAAAAAAAAAGTAGAAGATTTCAAGCATTGTGCAGCAGGTACAAAAAAGGCTAAATGGTAGGTTTTGGAGACTTCACAGATGCAAAGGAAGGATCGGCCTATTACAATGATATACCAGTGACAACAGACAAAGAGAGAGGGGAAGCATTTTTGAAGAGATTTATAGCCCAAACTGATCATAATGATAGCGAGCTTAGAAATTTAGTTAGAGATAAACTGTATTATACAATAAATGATAATTATTTTAAGGATATTATTAGGGTGGAGGATATAAAACATATATTGCAAAAAGTAAAGAACACAGCACCAGGGCCAGACGGAGTCAGGTTTGCCCACAGAAAGAGTATGAGTGATGAAAACTTGAGGGAGATGTCTTTTTACTTCAACTAGAGCATCAGAACAGCTTCAGTTCCCCAGGAATAGGTACACAGTTACCTAATTCCCATTCCAAAACCAGGCAAAGATATTCCAAACTCGGCGGTTTCAGGATTATCACCCTACAAAATACTTTTGGAAAGGTGCTAGAGAAGATTATTGTTGTTAAACTCACATTTTTTTGGAAAGGGAAGAGCTTCTGCCAAAAGGTTTGGGAAGTTACAGGTCATGGAAAGATACCTGATCAAATGCAGCTGCTTTTGCTTTTGATGTTTATCAGGGCCTCCAGGGCAGACAGGAGATGGTTGTGGCAGCACTTGATCTTGAGGATGCCTACGATAGAGTCAGATAGGATATTTTGATTTCTTGCACTCATGTAGAAGGGGGTTTTCTGTAGTTTGTGAACTGGATTGCAGCTGTCCTGCATTCACGTATGGTTGCCCTTTGCCTGGGTATATGGACCTCAGAACCATTTAATATTGCTCCGGGACTACCTAGGGTTCTGCATTTTCACCAGTGCTCCTTTAATGTGTATACAAGCAAGATTGCAGAACTTGAATCACCAGGTGTTGGAAGAATATTGACATTTGTCGATGATGTTCTTGCATTTAGGCAGGGGAGAGATAGGCGACAGATAGCTCAGGAGCTACAGGCAACTGTAGACAAAGTGACTGACTGTTGTGCAGAAATGGGTGCTGTCATCAACTCAGAAAAGGCAGCTGTTTTGTGTTGCTCCCTCGACATTAGAATTGTAAAAGTCAACGTTCCAAACATTCACACTTACATCAAAAGAGAAAGCAAACTGAGGTCCCCAGGTATCACTTTTGATAGAAGCGTGTCTTTCAGGGACATGTGGATGCAGTTGCAGTGAAATGCCAAAAAAGGCACAGTTCCAGATGACATTAGCGAATTGTGTTTGTAGCTGGGACATACTTTACATATCAACAGGAACAACACATTGCTGAGCTTACTGGCTCCATGTAGAGCTTGAGTCAGTGTTAACGTTACCATCAGAGCTTGCATGAACACTTGGACAAATGGAATGATGGCCAAACTGTATTGATTCAGTATCTTGAAAAGATATCAAGCAGGCAAAAAGTAGAACCACTAAGCTTCACATGATCACAAACACAAACAACAATTGAACGTTGCGGTGAGAGAGCCCTCATCAGTAAGTTACATAGATCAACAAAACCACAAGCACAAACAAGAATACACACAATCTGTTATCTGAGGTTATTCCCAAAAAGAGTCACATTGCTGTCTGGTCAGTGACATGAATGGAAAACAAGAATAGACCCACTGCCTCCCTCAAAAGCATGTTGTAAGAGTCCACTAATTAGGGGCTTCCTTTAAAGTTGGAGTATATCTGCCTGAGTGGCAAGGAACAAGCAGCTGCATACAAATAAGCCTGTAAAATGGATGTACACACAAAACTCAGGCCCTGGCACGAAGCCAAAGTCCAAGGGAACAAACAAACGAGGATATTCTGCCGGAGCTTACAGCTGGTGAACAAAGAAGAAGAAAGAATGAATGACACGTGAAGCCACTGAGAATAAATACTGACCTGACATCTCCAAGGGCTGTGACTCAAGGATATTAGATAAAATGTTGTGAGTAAAGTCCCCTAGGTGAACCATAATAAAGATAAGGCTGTTCTCAAGAGACTTACAGACTCTATTTTTGTGTGTGTTGATGTACCAAGCAAAACTAAAGGTAGCATCAGTGGTTGAACTTAACACCTAATATTTACAAGTGGTATAGGGCTTTTTCTTCTGCATTCTCCCTTCAAAGGGTTTTTGGCACGTTGTTTACAGCTAGGCTACAATATCTGTGCCTCTTGACCCAACACTTTCTTTTAAACAAAATCCTAATTACCTGCCTTAAACAGTATTCTTTTTTTTTTTTAAAGGAAACAGTGGAAATAACCTTCTCTCCTACCCCAAAATGGGGCCCTGGAACCCAAACACTGGGGCCCTGGAACTAAAACACTCAGGCTCTGGAACCCAAACACTGGGGCTCTGGAACTAAAACACTCGGGCTCTGGAACCCAAACATTGGGGTCCTGGAACCCAAACACTGGGGCCCTGGAACCCAAACACTGGGGCCCTGGAACCCAAACACTGGGGCCCTGGAACCCAAACACTGGGGCCCTGGAACCCAAACACTGGGGCCCTGGAACCCAAACACTGGGGCCCTGGAACCCAAACACTGGGGCTCTGGAACCCAAACACTGGGGCCCTGGAACCCAAACACTGGCCCTGGCACTGGGGCCTGGAACCCAAACACTGGGGCCCTGGAAACCCAAACACTGGGGCCCTGGAACCCAAACACTGGGCCCTG